CTCACTCAGTACCTGTCTGTCCCTACTAATTTCATTAAACGTGGGCCGGAGGTACTGTATTGCTACTACCACACCGTCACACACACCGTCACACACACCGTCACACACACCGTCACACACCACACCGTCACCACACCACCGTCACACACACACCCGTCACACACACACACCCCGTCACACACACACCGTCACACACACACACACCGTCACACACACACCGTCACACACACACACACCGTCACACACACACCGTCACACACACCGTCACACACACACACACCGTCCCACACACACACCGTCACCACACACCGTCACACACACGCACACACACTGTCACACACACCGTCACACACACACACACCGTCACCACACCGTCACACACATACACACTGTCACACACACTGTCACACACACCGTCACACACACACACACACACTGTCACACACACACACACCGTCACACACACCGTCACACACACACACACCACCGTCACACACACCGTCACACACACACACACCGTCACACACACACACCGTCACACACACACACCGTCACACACACACCGTCACACACACACACCGTCACACACACACACCGTCACACACACACACCGTCACACACACACACCGTCACACACACACACCGTCACACACACACACACCCCGTCACACACACACACCCCGTCACACACCCCGTCACACACCCCGTCACACACCCCGTCACACACCCCGTCACACACCCCGTCACTCACACCGTCACTCACACCGTCACACACACTCACTCACTCACACACACACCGTCACACACGCACACACCGTCACACACGCACACACCGTCACACACGCACACACCGTCACACACGCACACACCGTCACACACGCACACACGCACACACCGTCACACGCACACACCGTCACACGCACACACACACACAGACTCACCCACACACAGTGTCACACACACACAGTGTCACACATACACACACACACTGTCACACACACACAGACTGACCCCCCCCCCCCCCCACACACACACTGTCACACATACAAACACACACACAAGACTGACACACACACACACATGGTCAGATACACACACACTGTCTCACACACACACACAGACTGACCCCCACACACACACACTGTCACACATACAAACACACACACAAGACTGACACACACACACACTGTCACACACACACACATGGTCAGATACACACACACTGACTTGCACACACACAGACTGACCCCCACACACACACACACTGTCACACACACAAACACACACACAAGACTGACACACACACACACTGTCACACACACACACAGTGTCACACACACACAGTGTCACACACACACAGTGTCACACACACACACTGTCATACACACACACAGTGTCACGCACACACACTGTCACACACACAAACACACACACAAGACTGACACACACACACACTGTCACACACACACACACACACAGTGTCACACACACACAGACTGTCACACACACACACTGTCACACACACACACAGTGTCACGCACACACACTGTCTCACACACACACACACACACACACACAGTGTCACACACATACACACACAGGCTGTCAAACACACACACACACACACACACTGTCACACACACCCACGCAGACTGTCACACACATACACACACAGATTGTCATACACAGATTGTGATTTTTTACACACTTTTTCTGCCACTTCGAAATAAGCTTTTTAAGGGCATTTTTAACATTCCTTTGCTACCATTGTTGAAATTATTTTAGTGGGCACAGATAAATAGAACCTGGTGTCTTAATAAATAATAATGTTTGCATTTGATATAACACCTCATGCAGTCAGACAAATTTCAAAAGTGCTTCACAGGATTTTACTGTAAAATGTAATGTCTATTTCTAGGCAAACACAGCAGCTAATTTGCACGCAACAATGTCCCACAAATAGCCAGAAAGTGAATGATCAACTTTATTTGGAGGATTGTTGGCTAGGATTCCCTTCTCTTTTTGAATATTGCCATGGGATCATTGATGTTCACCAGAACAGGCAGATGGGGCCCCAATTTAATGTCTGTTCTGAAGCACAACACTTCCACCAATGTAGCTTCCACCAAACCCCAACATGTGAAGCTTGAACCTGCTACCAACTGAGCCTGGCTGACACCTTCTTGGTCTGTATAGCTCAGTGTAACTCAGTGGCCTATAGGTATTGGTTTAATACTCAAATCATCAAAACATTTTGGATCAAGTAGATATTTCACTCTGAGAGTGGTTGAAGTGAAGTTTTGTTCTTTTGTTTTCAGGTTTGTGAATGTGAACTGATTCTTGATGGAGACTTTACACCTTTCTCCAACAAAACTTGGTTTGCGAGGTTTTTTAAGATGTAAATGAAACAAATAAAAGAAAATTATGGGAAAATGCAGATGAATATTTGAAATATTAACGCTTCATTATGTTTGGTATTGCCTACAAACTCAACACTCACCGAACTTCACAGTAAATATTGTGAAGTGCTTTGAGATGTCCTCCCAACGTAAAAGGCTCTATATCGAATGCAGGGATTATTTTTTGTTATGGTTTCACCGAGTGTATGAATGGTATTTGATTTTTTTTCTACAGACAATGAAACTGCAGTTTATACTTTGATGCCAATGGTAATGGCTGATCAGCACAGGTGAGTCGTGTTTTTTAGTCAAAGCTGAACGTGTCCTTCCCAGATATTGGTATTTTTCAGGGTTAGGAAGTCTTGTTAAGAGTTTTTTGTTGTCTACTAAAATGAAGATGAGGGTTACAGTGTCTGTAGTGTAACTGTAGCAGAAATCAGATGGCAAAGCACAAACCATGAGTCAAATGTGGGCCTTTTCTGATTCTAATGGCTCAGTATTACACTTTATATCACATTTCTGAATCATTTGGGGAATAATACAGGCACCTCGCTAGAGTATCAGTTTGCTTATGACTTGGGTCTCCTGTGAACCAATGGTTTCTGGAATTGGTTTGATTCAGACTGGCCTCCGGCTTCTTGCACTAACGCACACTTGCCACCCTGTACCTATTATTTTATGGGATTAGAGGGATAGGGTGCAATTCTGTGGAGAGAGTGCGCGCTCCATTTCAGACAAAGAGAAATTTCCACACATTTATTAGAACTCTTTAGTGTTTCAATTTGGATACTATTTAGCATGGTGCTGGGTTTCCCCTGTGTGTCACACACCGAGCTGACGCCAAAAAATTAACCCAGGAAAATAGGTGGCTGCATCACAGATTGAAGCTGACTTTATTGTTTTACTATTTGTTTTTGATTTCAAGGTAAACTTCCAAATAATAGGATTATAATAGAAACAGAATTATGTTGAATGTGACTAATAATTTTGGATACATTGATATTTTGGTAATGTACAATATTATAATGCTCCTTTCTAAGGTCTGTTTCAGAGTTGCTGGCAAACTCCAAATTTGATGTCAATTATGCCTTTGGTCGTGTCAAGAGAAGCTTACTACACATTGCAGCAAAGTAAGATCATAAACAAATGTGATATTTTATTGTATTACTGAATGATAGAACTCATAATGCACTTCAAACTGTCTTACTATAAGCCCTTTATTCTATTTTCTGGGATGTATGTGGCAAGTATAAATGGAGATTCTGGAAAAAANGAGCTGTTATAAATATTAGACTCTTTGCAAGTTGAAATATTGACCTTGCATTTGAGAGAACTAGTTTGCAAGTCTTGTGTTCGATACAGAGGAAAGAAAAAAATATAACAAAGGTCCCTTTCTATATTGCTAAAGCACACTTTCTGGTGGTTTGGCTAAAGATCATTGTTCAATGTTTTATAATATTAATGAGCTGAACCATCTTGCCATATTGATTGAGAATAGGAAATATAATGTAAATATCATGTCGTTGACATTAAGCTATCCATTATTTTGCTATAACCCTATGTTTTTAAACCCATCTTGATGGACTATTTCTTAAAACTAAAATCTCATGGTGCATTGTCATGCAGAATGCTTGGGTAATAATTTCTTGCATCATAAAGTTGTACAACATAAACATACAAGCACTTTCTCATGTGGTGAGTTCCTGATTTTAATGCCCCCCCACCACCACATCATCAGAGAGGAGATAAGAGGAGGCAAGGATGCTTTCCTACAGAGCAAAGAGGAAACATTGGAGTATCACAGCTGATCTCGTGTATTGAAGCATGAGCAACGTTGACAAAAATCAGGAAGAAGCAGAACAATTGAATTCTGCCCCGTCGAGATAGGAGGGAGTTAAGAGGAGGGGGAACAAATTGTTCGAATGGAAAGTGGGGGGGGTTATTTTAGAAACTTTCCCGATAAGAATTAAATGCAATCTAAGACCCTTCTGCTGAAGTGCGGAAGGATACCAGAGTTGTGTAAGTAAACCTAATTTTTAAAATATAGAGATGTTGCTAATTATTTATTACTAATTCAGTGATTTATATGTTTCTGGGGCAGTTGTGGCTCTGTTGAATGTCTTGTTTTGCTTCTGAAGAAAGGCGCAAATCCAAATTACCAGGATATTTCTGGATGTACACCCCTTCACTTAGCAGCTAGGAATGGGTAAGTGGTTAAGAATGGCTAAGAACGCTTTTTTCACACAGTTACATACCAAGAACATTATTTAGACAAACACAACTTTTTGTTCTAATGTTTTACTTTTTGTTCTAACATTTCATAGTTACAGATAGATATTCAGAAGAATATTTTGAAGCATCATGGTTTCCCACATTATTCTAGGAAAATTTATGTAATGCATGGTCCTTCTTCTGAAAACTGGATGAAAGCATTCTCTTCTGGTTGTCCCTCTGGCACTGAATCCAAAAGATAAGATTGGTTGTGTTCTGAACTTTATCCGCCCCTATCTTGATTAGTGGCAAAGGGCACGCAAAAGGGATTTGCACAGGCAAATAAGATATATTTCTCATTGCAAAAGGGATTAAGGATATGGGGATAGGGCAGGGTTATGTTATTATCTGGAGTTAGATTAGAAGATCAGCCATGATTGAATGGCGGGGCAGACTCGAAGGGCCGAATGGTCTACTCCTGCTCCTACATGCATTGTTTTGTTAAAATGACTCCACAGATTCTTTCTCTGCAGTTATTCAAATCTTATGTTGGCATGCTTTAAGTACAATTAAATCATACTGAGTTATTGTCTCAACATTGGGACACTTCCATGATTCCAGTTAGCTTGTTCTATCGTGAATGTTTAACCATTGGCGGGCGGGCCTCCAGCCACTCCCTCTGGAACTCCATCCCACAGTCTTTCCCCCTCGCCCCTTCCCTTGCCTCATTCAAGCCCCATCTCTAGACCCTCCTCTTCGACCTTGATTTTGATCACTCTCCTTCCCCCCTGCCCTCCACCCTCCCCAATCCCAACACCCAGCTTGGGTCCGAAACACTGATTGTCCATCGGCTTGGGACGTGCTCCCGATGTGAAAGGCACTATACAAATGTAATGTTGTTGTTAACATACCATCTAGGACTTGCTACCTTCTGTTGCAAGAGTACTCTGGTAATGTTTATTGTGGGAGGAACAGGAATGTATTGTTGAATTTTGTGGGGGTGCCACTGACAGCTGGTCCTGAATCTTCTGATTTAAGAAAATGTAATACTGGTGTAATACCTAGATACTTCTTCATAGCTGTTTGTGGAGCATTGCTGTGTGCAAATTGGTTGCCAATGCAAAACACATAGTCGCTACACTTTACAGTAAATTCTGTGGAATGCTTTGAGACTCTCTCCAGACATGAAAGGCACAATATCAAATGGAAGGATTAATGATGATTATTATTACAAAAGTCACATCCTCGTATTCCAGGTGTTTATACAGTTCTTGGTATACTAATGTTTGCATTTATAGTTTTGTTTCCACAAGTATGTATGAGAAATGAACATTGTAGTTATGGTACCTGTTCTTTTTTCAGGCAAAAAAAATGCATGGGGAAATTGTTGGAATACAGTGCTGATGTGAACATCTGCAATAATGAAGGTCTAACTGCGGTAAGACTGAAATCTTTAGGGTTAGCAATTTCCATTGGTATTTTTTGGAAAAAACAATCAAGATTTTGATAATATGAAGGAATCAAATTGGTGCCTATGATGCACTGGGCTATAACTCAGATGATTCTCACATTTCCCAAAATAGATTGCTCTTTCACAATAATTCCTCTGAGAAAAATAGTCTGAAATTGAAATAGTTTAAAAAAATACTTATTTCACATTGCTTGTATACACACTCCTGTATAAGATGAATGGAGTTTGGAGGGATTTGGAGTAATGAGTATAGAATAATACTTTTACTAGTTATTTCAAAGGAAACTGTATTTTATGGATCATATCTTACTGCAGATTCACTGGCTGGCTGTCAATGGCCGGACTGAGCTGCTTCATGACTTAGTACAGCACGTTACAAATGTGGATGTAGAAGATGCAATGGGACAGACTGCTTTACACGTGGCCTGCCAGAATGGACACAAAACGGTGAGAGGCATACTGTTGGAACAGTACAAAGAAGCTTCATAGCATTGTTTGTCTTTTCTGACTAATGGAATTTAAAATTTAATTTAAATTTTTAAAGACCTTTTGAAGTACCTTGGACAGGGTAAGAATAGTTTTCAAAAAATCTTCAATGAAGGGAAAATTTGCAATCAAACTGAAATTATTGCAATGCCGTGTTTGCCATTTAAAATTGACAAATTCATCCCAAATAAATTAATATTAAGGTCTTGACACAAATGTGATCTTAGAAGTTTTTTTTAGATAGAAATAGTCATATTATTGTCAAAAAAGTCAAAATAAACAACGTGCCGAATAGGGAAGCAGAATTGAAGTGTTTAAAATATTTTATATTTTTTACTTTTTTAATGAATTTTTAGTTGATACCAATTCATACACTGAGAAATGTGTAGCCAGGAAGTTAGGAATTTCCCTGGCTTTGTTAGTAGTCAAGCGGTTATTTAGCAAAGCTTGATTTTGAATCAAGAATCAAAAGATTTTTGTTGAATCTCAAAGTACTTCATTTGATTTCTGTTTTTCTTTGTAATCGATTATTATCCTTTTACCTGCAGACAGTACTTTGCCTTTTGGATAGTGGAGCAGATATTAACAGGCCAAATGTTTCTGGAGCTACCCCTCTATACTTTGCTTGCAGGTATTGTCGACTTCATTTGTGTTAAGTTGCCACATGATTTATTTGAGCAAATCAAGTTAGATATATTTTGCTTGTATTATTGCAATTGTATTGTATCAATAAATACAAGATTATCTTTGGTTTTGAAAGCCTTTCTGCTTATTTTAGTTCACATGAGTTCACTTTTTGTCTCATTGGAGTGAGCAGAAAGTTTTCTTGAAGATCAGCAGCTCAAAGATTAGTAAAATATGTCTTGGTTTTCTAGTAGTTCAATAAATGAAAACCACTAAAACCCTATTTGTGCGTCTATTTTCCCTTCATTGGTACAATGGAAAATAGAGCCTGGCTCAATTGGTAACACTCGCCTCTGAGTCGCAAGATTGTGGGTTCAAGCCCCATGCCAAGGTTTTGACTCGAGGCTGACACTCCAGTGCTGTGCTTGTGATGTGCTACATTGTTGAAACAGTGTAGATAATTGTCCTCATGCAAAATACAAATTGTCTAACCAAAATATTCTGTCAGGCATTATTACTGTTACCAAAGAATCACAGTGTGCCAGCCCTTCACTCTATCTGCACTATTGACTCTTTTTTTCTTTTGCGTTCTCTCTCTATATATGACTTCTCTTTCAGTATATTTCTATCTAATTTTATCTATCTCTGCCTCTTTTCCTGGAATCCAATTATTTTCTTCAGATAGCCAAATAGACATTTAACTTTGTCTACTGGTAAAAAAAAAACCCTTCTGTTTTACTCAGTGTGAGTGAATCACATCATGCCGTAATATCTCAAAGCACTTTCACACATTCTGTAAAGAGTAGCAACTATTGTAGGTGAACATGGGAACCATTTTTTGCACAGAAATGTGCCATAAATTGCCTTGAAATGAATGACCAATTTTATCTGGGAGATTGTTTGCCAGGATACTTGGAGATATATCCTTTTATTTTTGATTAAATCTCGAGGGGGAGGGAACAGTTCTCCAGATATTGACCGGACACCGAATTTCCGATGATACATTATTACTTGGAATTCAATGTGGGGAAGTGTAAGGTTATAGATCCAAAAATAGGAAAACAGAATATTTTTTAAAAGGTGACAAACTAAGAACTATGGAAGAGCAAAGGGATTTGGGTGTCTCAAGTACACAAGTCATTAAAAACTAGTTCACAGGTACATAAAGTTATCAAAAAGGCAAATGGGATGTTGGCCTTTATCTCAAGGGGCTGGAATGTGAAGGAGAGGAAATGATACTTCAGTTGTATAGAGCCTGGGTCAGACCCCATTTGGAATATTGTGTTCAGTTTTGGGCACCGCACCTCAGGAAGGATATATTAGCTGTGGAGAGGGTGCAGCGCAGATTCACCAGAATGCTGCCAGGGCGTATAGGGTTAAATTATAAGGACAGATTGCATAAACTTGGCCTCTATTCCCTTGAGGCTAGAAGGTTGAGGGTGATCTGATTGAGGTTTTTAAAATAATAAATAGATTTGATAGGGTAGCTACAGAGAAACTATTTCCTTTGGTAGGGGAATCCATAAAAAGGGACACCATCCTAAAATTAAAGCTAGGCCATCTAGGAGTGAAATTATGAGGCAGTTTTTCACCCAAAGATAGTGGAAATCTGGAACTCCCTCCCCCAAAAAGTTGTGGATGCTGGATCCATTCACATTTTCAAGACAGGTGGATAGATATTTGTTAGGTCAAGGGATACGGGGCAAGGGTGGGTAATTGGTGTTGAGGTACAGATCAGCCCCGATCTTATAGAATGCCGGAACAGGCTTGAGGGGCTAAATGGCCTCCTGTTTCTATGATTATTATATAATATTTTACATCACTAAATACGGTTATAAACTTATCTGCTGTAATTTGTCTGTCATTCAATTGCAGTCATGGCCAAAGGGATACAGCACAAATACTACTTTCAAGGGGAGCCAAATACTTGCCTGACAGAAATGGTGTCACTCCACTGGATCTCTGTGTACAGGTTAAACAGTGTTCACAATTCCCATTACTAGTTCAGTAACTTTGTAAGCAAAATATACAAATACAGTCACTTTACGTTTTGAGAAGTCTCAACGAAGTTCTAAGGATTATTATATGTGGCATGCATATGTGGAACTTGGTCTGTTTTGGATAGTCTTCAGCATGCTGATGGGTTTCTGCATGTGTCAGATACTTGGCTGACCAAAAAAAACCTGCTTACCTGTCAAACTCAAAAAGCAGCAACATCCTCATCAATAGTAAAGTGGCACCTTTCAGTGATCAAGCAACAATATAGTCCATCGTATAGATAACTTGCAATTCTTCCAACATGCTGCAAGTGTTCAGCAACTGGGAATAGCATGGAAGTTAGAGATAGTGCCCAGCAGTCTACCTCCTAGTCCTCCTGGATCTTTCTGCCACGTTTGACACAGTCGACTACGCTATCCTCCTCCATCGGCTTTCCTCCCTCATCCAACTCATCCACCTCAGTGGGACCGCACTCACATGGTTCAAGTCCTACTTAACCAACCGCCACCATTTCATTTTGACAAATAGTTCCGCCTCCTGTCACTGCCCAGTTACCTGCAGGCTACCCCAGGGCTCCATCCTTGGCCCTCTTCTTTTCCTTATCTATATGCTCCCTCTGGGTGATGTCATCTGCATCGGGAAACTTCCACATGTATGCAGATGACACACAAATCTACTTTTGCCTCCTCCAGTACCAACTCCAGGTCCACTGATGTTCTGTCAGCTTGTCTGGCAGATATCAATGCCTCGATAAGTGTAAACTTCCTGCAGCTGAACGTGGACAAGACAGAAGCCATACTCCTTGGCTCCTGTCAACGTCTTCACTCCTGCCGATCTAAACTCCTCAATCTCTCTGGGCTCTCCCTCAGACTCACCGAACCAGTGCACAACCCAGGCGTCCGGTTTTACCCCCAGCTCTCCTTTCTCTCCCACATCCGGTCCCTGACCAGAACTGCCTACCTCCACCACCGCCACATTGCCCGCCTCCGACCGTACCTTACCTCAAATGCAAACGAAGCCCTCGTGCATGCGTTTGTCACCTCCCGCTTGGATTACTCAAACGCACTCCTCGCCGGTCTCCCCAACTCCACTATTCAAAAGATCCATCTCATTCAGATCTCTGACCCGGGTCAAACTGCGTACCCACACCTCACCAGTTCTGGCCAGGCTCCACTGGCTCCCCATCACTGAACGGATTGACTTCAAGATCCTCACACTCGTTTTCAAATCCCTTCACTCACTGGCCCCTCCCTACCTCTCCCACCTCCTCGCTCCCCAATCCATCACCTGGCGCCTCCGCTCGACTGGCACCAGCCTCCTGGTCGTCCCTCGCACCCTCTGCACTACTATTGGAGGTTCTGCTCGCAGCCACTACACCCTGAAATTCTGGAACACTCTCCCTCAATCCCTCCGCCTTGTCCACTCTCTCCCCTTTTTCAAGTCCTGCCTGAAAACCTTCCTCTTCGACTGTGCTTACAGCTACCTCCCCCACCCCCCTCCCCCCCTGGCTTTGAGTCAGGCTCTGCCACTGTTATGAGCTCTGAGGCGCTACCCTGCGTGGAGGGCGCTGTATAAGTGCAAGTTGTTGTAGTCTACCTTGCCATTTCTGATTATCTTATTAACTAAATGTACTGCATTTTGATCATTTGTTTAGGGAGGGTACGGAGAGACCTGTGAAATTTTAATACAGCACCATCCCAGACTTTTCCAGACACTTATTCAGATGACACAGAATGAGGATATCAAGGAAAACATGGTAATGTCATGGCTTATTTAATTTTAAGATTCAAATATAATCCTGCTGAAATATGTGTTAAGAATGAAAAAATGTGTAATGTTTTCATCAGTTATCTTGATTTAGAAACGGATTAAATCAATAGTACTACATATTTGCCTGTTTAGCTTTTCCAGTGTTAAATTCCATCAAAGACGATTTGTTCTGTACATTCTGTAAAGGCTGATACTTCTTTTTATGACTTCTGTCTTTACTGAAGGAGATATCTGGATGAATCTAGATGACCAATTGATGCAGTATTTAAAATATTATGTAAAGATTGGAATTTAAATTATTTCTGCACTGGTCTTTTTGGTACAACATTAAGATGCTTTCCCCATCTTGGCATTTCAAAGCCTTTTTTTCCATGTAATTGTAATTCTTGCACTAGTGGTTATTGTGTTTGCTCAGAGTGACTGATACTGATTCTTAGTGGATGACTTCCAATCATCATTCAACTCCATTCACTCTTTGAACCTGACATTTATCAGCTTCCTTTAGACTGCACTCTCTCAGCGTTTCACTGAAATTTTAACTCTCAAACTCTTTGTTGGGACAATCAAAATATGTTCTTTCAAAGTCAGTTTCTTCATGTCTCAATTTTAAGTACATCTATCGCCTTTTATCCCAGTCATTCTTTCCTCAAGACTGTGATGGCCCTTGTTCTTTTATACCCTTTTATGATCTACCATCTTTAAAATCCATCTTGGCAGGAACTAGCCACTGATTTTTGATCCATTCTTTTCAAACTTAGTGGTGTCTTGGACTAGCTTGTCCTTTTGCTTAGCTTTTCCAATATAAAAATGTATGAAAACAGTTTCCAGTGCAGGGAGTTTTTGTTACAAGATCTGTGTTTGAATAAGTGTTATCAGCCCACAAGTTGAGAATGGTTAGTTCAATGGTTAGAATGTACGTGAGCAATCAAGTTCTCACTAAAAACAATATAGTGGTGATATGTTGACAACTAACTAACTTTATTTGCAATAGTATTTGATCCAGAGTGCATTACAGGGGAATTCACAGAGCTACTGATTATGAAAAATGTAGCCTTTATGCAAGATTTCATCACAGTTTAACACAGGGTTTATAAACTTGTGAGACCAGCGTGCTGGTTATCCAAAGGTTTTGCAGCTTACTGAAATTTAAGTTTAATTGGCAGTATTTACGATCCCAGTCCAATGTACTGTGTTTTAGAGCTTTGAAAGAAGTAGATTCCAAATTAATCTTGGTCTATGTATTTTTTTTCTGTGTTGCACAAAACGGACATTTTGAGATTTAAATCCATGAAGATTAATGAAATGCTAAACGCTGAGTTGAATTTGAACCACGTGTGAAATATGGAATATTCTAAATTAAACTTCAGAAATTGTACTTAGCTTTGCATCAATTTTCCACTTTTGTTCCACTGCACTGTTGATGCAAAGCTAAGTACAAGAAGCAGAGAATGGATTAAAAATGACTTTTTAGTGCTAACTAAAAGAAGTTAGCACTAACCAAATCGGCAAAAGTAAGTTAGAAAAAGAGTTCATTGAGTGTATGAGAGATAACTTTCTAGAGCAGCATGCCGAGGAGCCAACTAGGGGAAAGGCCATCCTAGACCCTGTTTTGTGTAACGAAACAGGGCTAATTGGTAGTGTGGGTATTAAGACTCCTCTGGCTCAGAGTGATCACGATATGATTGAATTCTGCATTAAGTTAGAGAGGGATATAGTTAAATCCGAGGCAATTATTCAGAATTTAAATAAGACGAATTCTGTGGGTATGAGGAAAGATTTAGGTAAAATAGACTGGAGAATCAGATTAAGAGGTAAAAATGTAGACCAACAGTGGCAAATATTTAAGGATGTAGTGCATAATTCTCAGCGGTTGCGGAATAACAGTACCAAAGGGAAAGCAATTCATCCGTGGCTAACTAGAGCAGTTAGGGAAAGCATCAAATTAAAAGAAAAAGCTTATAAAACTTTGGTCGATTTGGACTTCCAGAAGGCATTCGATAAGATGCCGCACAAAAGGATAGTCCAAAAGATAGGGGCCCACGGAATTGGGGGGAGCATATTAACATGGATTGGGGAATGGTTAACAGGTAGGAAACAAAGAGTAGGGATAAACGGGTCCTTTTCAGATTGGCGGGATGTGACTAGTGGAGTCCCACAAGGATCATTCCTTGGGCCTCAGCTATTTACCATCTATATCAACGATCGAGATGAGGATATCGAAGTTAATATATCTAAATTCCGGATGACACAAAACTAGGAGGAAGTGTCCACACAGAGGATGACATTAAAAAAATGCAGCGCGACATAGATAGGTTTGGTGATTGGGCAGGTAGGTGGCAGATGAAGTATAATGTAGGGAAGTGCAAAGTCATCCACCTAGGTAGCAAAAACTGTAGAGTGGGTTATTTTTTAGAAGGGGAGAGATGGGAATGTGTTAGTGTCCAGAGGGACTTGGGTGTCCTTGTACACCAATCACAGAAAGTTAGTCTGCAGGCGCAGCAAGGAATTAGGAAGGCGAACGGTATGTTAGCATTCATTATGAAAGGATTAGAGTATAAGAATAGGGAAGTCTTGCTGCAATTGTATAGGGCCCTGGTGAGACCACACTGGAATACTGTGTCCAGTTTTGGTCTCCTCATATATACCTATAAGATCATCAAAGGGCATGATAGAGTAGATAGTGGGAGATTGTTTCCCCTGGTTGGAGAAACTAAAACCGGGGGTCACAACCTTAAAATCAGAGGCCAGCCCTTTCGCACTTCTTCACTCAACTTCTTCACTCAAAGGGTAGTGAATGTATGGAACTCACTACCCCAAAGGGCTGTTGACGCTCAATCCTTGAACATATTCAAGACTGAGATAGATAGATTTCTTATTGCAAAAGGGACTAAGGGATATGGGGATAAGGCAGGGTTATATTATTATCTGGAGTTAGATTAGAAGATCAACCATGATTGAATGGCGGGGCAGGCTCAAAGGGCCGAATGGCCTACTCCTGCTCCTACATGTTATGTTAACATTGAGAAATGAAGCACTGTAGTTATAACATCCAATATTAATTGTAAATTGTGTTGATTTGGTGAACATTCACCCTTCACTGTAAACTGGCAGTTTACTTTGCATAAGTTCTAGTGTTTCTTTAAAGTTGGAGAGCCAGTTGGGATTTAAAAAGCAAGGGACATTTTGTTTTAAGCAGAAGATATGATGAACTGTTCTGCTTTTGGGAGAAACCTGGATTAGTTCTGTACTTATATCTTATTGTATCTAAAATGCTATCTACCAACACAAAAAAAATTGAGGTTCATCAGAAGTGAGCTTCTAGTTCCTGTAGAAAGCTTTAATCTTTCTATGTATTCATATACCATTTAAACATTCTAAACTTTTCTTTTGGATTTAGTTGCGTCAAGTTCTGGAGCACCTGTGCCCGCAGAATGAAAGTCAGTATCAGAAGATCCTAACCAGTCTGGCTGAGGTGACGACCACAAATGGGCACAAGCTGTTGAGGTGAGTTGAGAGATGCTGTTGGCCAGATGGAAATGTTAACTTAAATTTTAGTTTTTCTATCAGCAGAATTCATCCACCCAGTTTGATGAGATGAACTGTAGAACTTTAGTATTGGGCCCAGTGGTAAAAGAGTAATAATAATGCAATCATACCTGTATTCAACAACCACTCGGAACTGGGCCAAAGTGGCCTTTATACATAGGAAGAGTGTTTGGGTGCTGAATTTATTTAAGAAACTGCTTAATGCTGCAATGAGGGATGGTTGGGTGGGTATTCTGGAAGGATAAGAATACATTGAAGGACATTGTTTAGCCAAACTAGTCTTGTGATATTCAATTTTTCCTAGGCACCCACATCATTGGAACAGTTTAATTGAGGAGGTGTTTCACAGAAATCTTTGAAAATCAGATATTTAACTAAACCTAGACTGTATTTTTAGTGGCATAAAAAATAAAATTTTTAAAAATATATTGAAGCCTTGTTTCGCGTGGTGGCTCGGATCCTTAAATTGCCAGTTAGCACTATAACAAGATTTTAACTCTCACAGAGAGCTGGTTTCACTGTTGCACACAGCTAGCTAATTTACTCCTGCTGTAGACCACTTCCCACGCCAAAAACAAAATGGCTGATATTCAGGTCACCACAATGTCACTTCCTGCTTTAAGCATGCGTGGCAAAATAGGAAGTGATGTATGCAGCTTCCTGTTAAATTGGAAATGGTGAAAGTGACCAGCACATGGGAAATGAGCAGGCTGCCTGTGCACATGTGCAGTGAATGAGGACCACAGTGCAACCAAATTGCAATTGAATTTACACCATAAAGAAGTGGTTTATAATGACGCTGCACTGTATTTTGAACAGGAATAGGTTTTTCATTCCCTTTAAAATTTCAGAAATTATACTGTCTGTTATGTGTTTACAAATTGATAAATTAATGACTATTTTTCTCCTTCAGTTTATCAAGTAACTATGAAGCTCAGATGAAGAGTTTGTTGAAGATAGTGCGAATATTCTGTCATGTGTTTCGCCTAGGCCCATCCTCTCCCAATAATGGAAATGACATGGCCTACAATGGAAATAAAACTCCAAGAAGTCAAGTTTTCAAGGTCAGAAAAGTATATGACGTTATTAGGAAGATTGACGTAAAAGAGATGAATGTCACAAAGCATGCAAACATTAATCAGACAACTGTTGAAAACGAAGTAAGTTTGGTGCAAACAGTATGTACTTTTTTAAGTTATGTGAAACTTCTTAAAGTACTCTTTTAATCAGCTTATCTTCCTCCCTCTTTGCACTCTGTTGCATTTAATACATGAATCATGATTTTTGTAATTTTGTTTGGTGTTTTTAACAAAATTCTTTCAATTTAATTTGATCAATCTTTTCAACTTTCTACTTCTTTCTGAAAAGATGTTTACAAGCATGAGTGTACATTTTTAAGATTTAAAAAAATCTGAAAGATGTGCTCGCAAACTTTGTACCCTGTTTTTAATATTCCTTATTTGTTCTGTTCAGTTTTTGTTGTACATAAAAGGATATATGTTTTACCCCCTTTAATTTGCTAAATTTTATGCTCGTTAATGTGAAGGATGTCACTTTTGACGTATGGAACACTTGGAGAATGGAACACTTGACTTTTTTTCTCTTTTCAAACTAAAATCAATATTAGCTGAACACAAGTATCACATGGTTAAATGCAGATCATCATACCTCAGCATCATAAATCTGCCTTCACTCAAACAGTTTGATGTTTCCACTTTCAACTCCTACCATTCTAATGATCTGATATTGAGATTTTTTGTTTGGGTTGAATTATGGGAAGTTTATATACCTTCGACTTGCAATCATCAGAAACTAGATTGAGATGGCTTTTCTCGGGAATTTATAGAGAGAGAATTTCATCTCATCAGTCTTGGTTGGATTTGAATCCTGATGATATAGATATGAGTTCTCACTTCAAAAGTCACATTGTTCCTTATATGGGTAATATTTACAAGAAAGCCTCAGACGAATATTAGCAATATGTGGAAAACTTTTATGGAAGTGGCAAATCTCCCTACTTTTTTGCTCTTGTCTAGAGTGAAGGGTGCTATATAAATGCAAGTTTTTGTTGCTTAAATATGCATATGACATATAGAGGATACTCATCAGGAAGCAGCTTGTCTTTCAAATGAGCAGGATTGAATAATTGGCTTTATGTGTTACTGACCTAATTAAAGTGGTGATTTGGGACGATAACTTAAGACCAGAGTGATAAAATGAAGCACGTTATCGGGCCACCTTCATTTCATTGCTTGCCTTACTTTTTGTGTGCTGTGCACAGGAAGAGTTGCTAACATCACTTCCTTTGCCTTGCGCATGTGCACTCTGCACACAAACTCCTGCTGGTCTCATTTCCTACAATTGTACACAAGAAGCGCCTCTGATGTCACTTCCTTTCCATTTCTTATCAATGCAGGGTACGCTCTTGTGACATCTTCTGTGCACAATTGCAGGAAGTGACACTAGCGGCCATTTTAGAGCAGGAAAACAACAAATCACACTAGAAGCAGACCCTTCCTATGTAGTTCAGTGCAGGCTCACAGTCCACCCATTCTACACATGAATGTGTACTGAACCAGAATGCCTCATAACTGGGTTACTTATACAGTGTGTCCCACTCACAAGAGGGATAAATTGGATAATTCATGGCTTGCACGTTGTCTGCTTATACAGAAAAGCTTAGACTTGACACCTCCAATATCTTGGCAATTTCATTCTGCAGAATTTGTGTACCATCATAAATTATTGAAAGGTACAATAACAATATATTTTAATAAATTGTCTTGCCATTTTAAATTTCTATACTTTATTCAAATGCTTGAAGGAACACTTTTTTGTTGTTTTTACATATAATACATTTATGTGGCTAAGGAGCCAAGTGACAGAAATTTAGACTGGCACTGAGACGATTTTCAGAACGTCACTTGAAATTTTTCTAGGGACTGCGTAAAGTAGGTCATTGTCAGTTTCTGTATCTCCTTTCCAATTAAACCACTTGTTGTTCTGTTGCGCTTTCTAAGGTGTAGTCATGGTTCTTAGACTTTTGATATCATTGTAAATGCGCTGGAACAAGGTTTGTTTTAGGGTGGAAATAACTCACTTAGTCAGGTACTCGGTTGAGTGTGGTGGGGATTGGGGTGCTGTTCCTGTCTGGATTAGTAGTTGCTACTGCTGGTTATGGTCACTTTTCTTTTTAGTTCTGGAAGAATGTTACTGATTGTTTCTTTCATCTCCTTTGTTGGGACAGTTATTTTGGTAGAGGGGAAGCTTGGATCGTTTGGTAATGCTGGAAAAGATGTCATATTACTTGGTAGTTTTTCACCTTCAGGAGGAGTTGAAACCTCACTCATTCTGATTGACATTTCCCAGAATATCTTTTTAAAAATTTGGGGCAGACAAAATGTTTTGGGTTCCAAACACTGTGAGTTGCGTGAGGGCATTTACTGTCTCCATGGTTACTTCAAGACCCTGCAGTAAAACATGATGGCCATTTGTATTCCATCTGCTTCAGCTTCCCACTTGTACCTGCTGGTACCAATTGTACCAATTAGAGGCAGCCGTAAAGAACCACATTCACCATAAGAGTAATCCCAGAGACCTTCATAGGACTTCATTGCTGTCAACGCTAGTGGTATCAGGTAAGTCAGACGTAACCCTAGCACAAAAGTTGGGTGTTATCCGCATGACACTGTGGGGAGTATTTAGACTCTACGTCTGACTCAGAAGTTTAGTTGATTCAGGAAAGCTTTTAGAGCTAGTTATTCACCTGATCTGGAGCTGACATTAATTTTTTTTCTTGGTTATATAGTATTGATTAGTTCCATTTGTTGGGGATTATTTTGGCTCATTGTAACATAGTGCCGCTTTTTGAGGCTTGAGATCAGTGTCACCATAAGATCTCGACATTAGTTCTGATTAGCTGCAAAGTTAGCCACAGCAGCAGTGGCTTTAGTAGAAAAGCAAATGAAGGAAGCAGGTCATTTTCAGACACTGAATTTATTCATATTGGCACTGTTCCACCTTAATAAGAAAAGATCTTAAGGCTTTGGGTTGAAAGTTTTTTTTTAAAAGAAAGAAAACCTCCAAATCTATCTTCCTTCTTGGAAAATAGCATCTTATATTCAATGTATCCCAAATGAAGAGTGATCCTTATTTATTATTATCTTTCCAATTAAATAACTTAATTTAAGTTTTGCTGTTGTACTTTCTAAAGTACTAGAACTTCCTATCAATTATCCATCACCTTCCCTGGTATGTAGTTTTTGGAATGACTGCTTCACAGTCTCAGCTTCACTCAATTGATTGTAGACTTGGCTGGGGGTCAGAAGGTTGTGGTTCCGATGCATAGTTAGAGGAGCACTACATTGTCCGAAGTGCTGACCTTTGGATGAGATGTTAAACCAAGGTTCAAGTGGATGTTTAAGATCCTGTGATGCTATTCAAAATATAAGGAAGTTTCCCCTTTTGTCCTGGCTAACGAGGCCGAAAGGCACTAAATAAATGCATTTTGATGTTGTGTTTTAATCACAGGACCTTAATCTCTATGCCCTTCCATAGAACAATTATAATCCTATTTATTTCAGTTCCTCAGAAACAAATTGTTTTATGTCTTTAAAGTAGATAACTAATCTTTATGGTCCCACTTTTAATCTTTCTATTGACATTGTGGACTTCATTATTTTCTTGGATTTCGATTGGAATTCATGCATCAAGGCTAGAAATTGATTCATGATGATTGTTCTTTTGAACTCAATCTTTCTTGTTTTCCATTTCCTACCCCCCACCACCCAACACTTTCCAGCAACTATTAACTCTCTTGGAAGCCTGAGGTTTTCTAAGACTTCAATAATTTCCCATATGTGAGCAGTTTTTTCGAATGCCTTTTTACATGCCCGGATGGAAAGATTTTTGTGACGTGATTGCTCCTTTTTTCTGGCTTTTACCCTCACTTTATTTTGCAATCTTCCTTTCCTGGTTTTCTATTATATGATTATTATTACTTATAGGCATTTTTCCTGCAAATTTCTCTTTCTCCCAAGCCTAAATATCCATACACATTCCCTCTTTCCTTCATCACTATTCTGAAATAAAAATTACTCAAACTCTTATTTTAATTCATTCTTTCCCAGGATATCACATTTTATAACTCCTAGGAATTGCTTCTACAAATTTCCCTCTTCCAAGATTCAAATATCTCATCCACACACATTCCTTCTTTCCAGCAACAATGCAGTAACATTTGTATAGCGCCATTCACGTCGGGAGGACTTCCCAAGTTGCTGGACAATCAGTGTTTTGAACCCGAGCTGGAGGTCGGGATCGGGGAGAGTGGAGGGCAGGGAGGGAATGAGAGTGAACGAAGACACAGTCGAAGAGGAGGGTCTTGAAGAAGGCCATGGACGGGGCGAGGTGGAGGTACTGAGGGATGGAGTTTCAGAGGGTGGGGGCAGAGTGGCTGAAGGCCCACTCGCTAATGATTGCGCGGGCGAGGTGGGGGTCATGAAGCAGGCTGGACGGAGGGATCCGGCAGGTTGGTAGGGGGGAGCAAGGTCATGGAGGGCTTTGAAGGTGAGGACCAGGATCTTGAGCTGTGTACTCTGTGTGATAGCAAGTTTTCCTCCATTACTATTCTGAAATCAAAATTATTTATGCTCTTATTCTAATTCATTGTTTCCCACTACCTCAATTTTCTGAAACTCCTTACTTTTCTTCGTCGTCTGTGTACAATCTACATGTTTTTAAAATCAAAGCTTAATGTAATATAACCGTTTCATTTTTCTGGTGACTTTTGATACTCTGGTCAATTTATGTCTTAAGAACTACAGGATAGAACTTCTCAATAACTAATAACCTTTTCTTAGTAATTGTGACCCTGGTAGGCCTCAGTTTGTTGTTTATCTGAATTATCTGCTGTGCGCAATTGCCTGCTGCATTTCGCTCACAATATATACAGTCAATTAATTTTACAGTGTAATCTGTGAACCTCTTTGAGATGTCTTGAAGACGTGATAAGGCGCTATGTCAAGTGCAAGGATTATTATTGTTATTATTATTGGGCCAAAACTGGAAAGGGTTTCTTTTCCAAATGGCTTAAAGTTGTGGATCCTTAGACCCCCATCCTTTTATAATAAAAAAATAACTTTGATGTGTGCAGGATCACCAAATAAGAAGATTAGACATTATTCTTTGGAGGCGTTTTATTTTTCACCAACCAATCTTCCAGGCATCCTTATTTTCTATAACTGAACTGGAGTAGTTTAAAGATGTGTTCGGTTTGCTATTAGATTTTAGTGCTCTGGGTGATATTTTAGGTTTTATAACTACAATGTTATGTAGTCTTTGGACAGAGAGTAAGAGTTAGGATTGACTGGAAAGACACCTAAAGTATAATTTCTTAAGGGGATAAGTCCAGTTGATTTTACTGATGGAATTTCCAGTTTTCTGGGTCAGATGGTAGCAGTCTAATTTCTGGGTCAGACAATTGTGCATTCGAATCCTTTTGGGTTTATAATCTAGGCTAATGCTCCAGAACTGAGACAGTACTTCATTGTTGAAGGCACCATTCTTTTGACAGACATTACTCTTTTAGTCATGACTAGCTGATTATATGGTCTAGATGGCACTTTTTTCAAAGAAGATGACTGAATAAAAAATGGCGGCAGGCTGAAGGCTGGAATCGTGAGGAGGTCGCCAAACAAGAATTCGAAAAACAGAGGGAAAACTCCTGTTTTTTTTTTTTGCAATCCTGGCGAGTGGGCTCAATCGGAGTCCAATTGGAGTGGACCGGGGGAGGGCAGGAGTTCTTGCGGGCGGCCTGGAACGGGGACTGAGGTGACTTCACACGAGCGATGCCTGGAGCGAGGCCCAAACCCGATGCCTGGAGCGAGGCCCAAACCCGATGCCTGGAGCGAGGCCTAAACCATCGCCTGGAGCGAGGCCCAAACTCACCGCCTCGAGCGAGGCCCCTAACTTACACATGGGGAGGCTGAGCGGGGCTCGAGGCCAGCAATGGAGTGGAGTCAGATGCGCCAAACGGGATCCAGATCCAACGCGGGAACTGAGGCCCACCTACCTGAGCCACGTGGAGCCAACATGGGATTCACCACCTCGGCCATCGCTGACTCTCCTGGTGAACATCCAACCAGAGACCAGCTGCCACGTGACGTTACCTCTGCCCGCCACCTATGAATCTCTCAGCCTAGACATTGTCCCCCTCTCCCCATGATGACTCCCACCGGCGGGCTGACCATGCCTTGCTGAACACCCCACCCCCACTGCCGTTTGTTCTTAGTCTCAGTGTGCGCAATTTGGCTGTCGCCACCGACCTGAGCTGCTTCTCAATAATGCTCCCACCCCTGTCCTCTACCCTCCATTTCTCCCGCTCGATCCTCCTCTCCCTCCGTCCTCCCCAACTCCTATCCCTGCTCGACCGTCCCACAGCCTCACTCTGCTCCAGCTTGCGAATCCTCCATCGGGCCCACCATGGGAGACACTGCTGGCTGTCCAACAGCAGCCACTCTGACTGCCCTATTCCCCATTCTCGCCACAAGGCCCATCGGTCCCTGACCACGGGGGCCAACCTCTCCTCCCTCATCCACATCCCCACCCTCCCTATCAGTCCTTCCCCTCCTCTCCCTTACCCCCCACATTCCACCACCAACTGTCCCCCCCACATTGGCCTACAAAATGTCTGCTCCCTCTCCAACAAAACACTCACCATCCAAGACCTCATTGTTGACAAAAACATCGACATTTTCGCTCTCACTGAAACCTGGATCACTTTATTCAGTTGAACTTCAATAAGACCGAGGCTCTCCTGATTGGCTCCCGTCAGTGCCTCCACACCTCAGGTGCTGACAGCATTACTATCCATGGATGCACATTCCACCTTACTAAGCCAGTCTGGAACCTCAACTATCCTTTCTACCCCACATCTGTGCCATGATCCGCTCTGCCTTGCCCCACCTCCCCAACATTGCCCACTGTCTCACAGTACAGGCCGCCGAAACCCTCAAACACACTTTCTTTACATTGAGGCTTGACTACAAACTCCTTGCTTGTCGGCTCCCCCAACTCCTCCCTCCGTAGGCTGCAGATCATCCAGAAATCTGCAGCCCTTGTCCTCTCCCGCACCAGGCTCGGTGATCCTATCATCCCCATCCTGGTCCTCACCTTCAAAGCCCTTCATGGTCTTGGTCCCCCCTACCTCTGCGACCTCCTAACCCCCTACCATCCTGCTCAAGCCCTCCTCTCAGCGGGCTCCGGCCTGCTTCACGTCCCCTGCCTCGCTCGCTCCACAGTTGGCGGGTGGGCCTTCAGCCACTCTGCCCACCCTTTAGAACTCCATCCTGCAGTCCCTCCACCTCGCACCTTCCTTTGCCTCCTTCAAGACCTATCTCAAGTCCCTCCTTTCCAACCGTGTTTTTGATTACCCTGCTTTCCACCCTCCCTAATCCCGACCTCCAACTTGGGTCCAAAACTCTTGACTGTCCTGCGTCTTGGGGCATCCTCCCGACGTGAAAGGCACTATACAAATGTAATTTTGTAGTTGTTGTAGTTCTCCTCGTGCTGGGTCTTGGCTATTATTTCTCCAACTTCCCAATTTATTTGAGAAAGATTAGTTGGTCATTCTGATTGTTGCTTTGTGAAAATTAGCTGCTGTGTTGCCACCATAGGAAATCCACTTCAAGTATATTTTCGTGTGAAGCATTTTGATGTGATAAAGGTGATGTGTAGATACAAATATTAATTTCAAAATGGAAAATGATTTCCTTTTCTAAACTTCAAATAAATATATACTTTCTGGTCATATTTTATGTTTAATAAGGAGTTTGATATTCAGAAGCTGAAAGGAATCATCTCTTGTCTGTGGTTCAAGTGGTACAAGTAACCCCAGTATTACTATTTAAGAATGACGAGTACAACTGCCATTTTGTAGGCATGTATTTTTGGGGGGAGGAGAGATGTTAAATCTGATAGAATTATGGATATGTTCACAGTGATTGAATCTTTATACCAAGAAATAATTAAAATAGATATTGTACAAATAAGTTAAGTATATGACATTTAAAGAAATATAATGTTTTAATTGGTTAATATTTTCTTGGTTTCAAAATGTTTTGTTGATTTTCTTAATGTCAAATATTTAACTCTTGAATTCCGGCAGATGTAAACTGTATTCTTATAAAAAATCTTGTCTTCTATTTATATCACCTTTTTTAAAAAAAAGTCTTAATCGCATTGAACAAAATGAAAGTTGTACTATTATACAAGAATGATTTTTCAAACCCTTAATATAAAATATACAGATTATGTTTGGATGGCCAAGAATGCTCAGTATTACTTAGTGGTTTTGTATATTTCTATAATTCTTATAAAATAGTATACAGTGTTATGAAAGGCCTGTTGAAACCTACATGCTGTTCTTGACTGCCAGTCTCCTGCTTGCATGGCTTCTGATTTTCTGGTTACCTTATGTGACCAATACTGATCTGCAAATCAAATAATCTTTGATACATCAATCAAATATTTTTTAATTTAAAAAGTGACTGATAATTTTGCATATCATCACCATAAGTGTTCATGAATAAAATGAGCCTACACAATATTACTATATTTATATTTGTCCTCACAGCCTTTGGAACTACTTTGGCATTCATTGGACGAGTGGTTAGTTCTCATTGCCACAGAGCTGAAGAAAGATGAACAAGATTCTGAAATAGATGCTAACAATATCACTTCGATTCTCTTGAAACAAAAAACCCAACATGAAGAGCCTGTGACTGTCCAAGTGTGTGAGGATTTAAGAAAAGACCAACCTTCCTCCCTAGATAACCTAGTGCAAAGTAGTAACTCGACACAAGATACCAGTACAGATGGCCTGGATGTAATCTCTATGACAGCAAACCGTTTGAGTACTGTCATCCAAGCATTCTACATGTGCTGTTCGTGCCAGATGCCTCAGGGGTAAGGACCATCCATGTAGTTTATTGCATCTAAAGTAAAAACCCTGTTTTATTTCGTAATCTTTTGTGTATCTAAAAGGGAGAAAATTGAGTAAAACTAAGTAAATTAGGTGTTAACCGGAATTATTTTTGGAACTTGAAAAACGTCAAGAAATCAAGCCCGATATTAACAAAATAGTTGCTTTATTGGATAAAACAATAATTAATGTACTCTTGATTATAAATCTGTTCCAAGACATTAATCCTAATGAAGGGTGCTATATAAATGCAAGTTGTTCCATTGTGATAAAGGTGTTCCTTTTTAGCACCAGAATTCTTTAGATTAGTTGTGGGGGTTTCTTTTTCAGAATGACATCACCTCGCTTTATTGAATTTGTCTGCAAGCATGATGATGTTCTCAAGTGCTTTGTCACAAGGTAAGTTTATATCCTTTTGTTCAAGGGAACTCCAAATCCTCTTGCTCACATATTTTTTCCATAGTTGGACTAACATGAGCCCTCTCTTTTTTAAAATATCTTTTTATTACAGAAATCCTAAAATCATTTTTGACCACTTTCACTTTCTTCTGGAGTGCCCCGAACTGATGTCAAGATTCATGCACATCATTAAAGCACAAGTAGGTTTTTGTCACAATGTACAGATCGTTCAAGATTCTGCTAAAAACAGCAAAACAGATTTGATCAATTTAGCAATTTAATTATGCTCTACAGGGTGGTCCAACCTTTTGGCTCTTGAGGGCCAATGATCTATTTGAGAAATGTCCTCGGGCCGCAAAAGCAATATTTTTGGTTTCCTTTCCAGAAACATAACACTTACAGGTTATGGAGGGAGCGGGTGGGCCAGATGAAATGGAGGAAGGGAGAGCTGGATGAAATTGGCCTGTGGGCCCAATGTGGCTCATGGGCCGCCAGTTGGACTACCATGCCTAAATAATTGTGGTGCATTACTGTTGTATTTTTAGTTGTAACAAAAGAAATATAATGAGAGATCTAAAGCCTACTCTGACTGGTCAGGTTCACAATATTCCAAGCCACTGTTGATGGCAGGCCAGCTATCCTAGCTTGTCAACAGGACTTTGAAGGCAGTCCTTTTATACTCTGTCTTGAAAATGTCCAGAAAAAAAATAATTATGTTTTTCATTACTTATGCAGCCCTTCAAGGACAGATGTGAATGGTTCTATGAACATCTTCATTCAAATCATCCTGACTCCGACATGGTGCACAGACCAGTTAGTGAAAACGACATCTTGCTTGTTCGCAGAGGTATTACTGAAGTGAATCATTTGAACACATTAATTTAGGAATTTGAATGAACTTTGCTCAATAACCGTTTAGTTTTTTGTTGATTTCTCAATTCCTCTTTAGGCCTACGATCCACAACTCTAATAACCTTCAGAATATTCAGCTCTTCCTAAATCTCCTTCATTCCGGGTCCGTTTCCTTTCACGCTTTTAAACCTATGCACTTTAGTTTTGCTCATACAAAAGTTAGTCTGCTTACATCTATCTTATCTATGGCTCTCAGAATGTTAAAAACGTGGATCTTGTCTGAGCGCTTCTCATAGTTTAGAACTCTTAATCCTGGGATTATTGTTATTGCTTTTCTCTGAACCATCTCCAATGCTTTTTCAATCCTTCAAAGTTCTTTTCAAGGTAAATTGTCCAAAACTGCACTGACTATTCCAAGTGATCTAGGTAAGATTAGAATAACATATTTTGCTTCTTATCAAATTCATGCAACTAAAGATTGCAACATGATAAATTAATTGACATTTGGGAACAAACTTGAAATAGGAGGTGAACGTAAACCAGCATAACTGGAAAAAAAACAACTACTTTTTGGAAAAGCAGATCTTGCAACTATCTGAATCACAATCATATTTGAGAAGTAATGGTATGAAGGAATCTGGAGAAAAGGTAGGGAAATGGAATTAAAATATCTGCCATTATTTATATATATATAAATATAAAACAACAATATCTGTCTGCATTTCAAGAAGGCTATCAATAAACAATTGACACAGACGCAATTTATCAGAAAGGTCTTGCAGCTGGGAGTGACACGGGCATATTTGTTTTCGGGTATCTCCTATCGTTCATGAGTTATAACCTAAAATGTATTTCAGTTTTACGTTTTTCACTGCAGTTACACCTAATGTCTGACGAGTCAAAGTGGCGCTGTGGCATCCTGCGTCACAGAGCACCTACGTATGTACTCACAGTTACAACTGGTGGCCGCGCCGGCTGACCGTGACGCTGTGGCATTGTGCGTCACAGAGCAAGCGTGTAGCAAAGTGGCAGGAGCAAAATAAAGAACACAGACGAAGCTAAGCCACAGCAACAACAAAATTACATTTTTAAAGCGCCTTTCACATAAGGACGTCCCAGTGATTATAAATTATACATTTATATTTGTCATTATAAAGATACCTAAGCGAAAATCAAACCTTTCAAGGATAAGTAAGTCTTATCTGTTCGTGTCATTCTACATTCCATATTGGATCCTTTGGTTGCAAGTGAAGCTGTAACGGGTCCAGCTAGAATTTAATAAAGTGGTGGAGTAGGTTCAATGAATGGGCTGAATGACCTCTTCTTCCTATGTTCCTATGTCTTGCGTTTCAATTAAGTACATTGGTTATTTTTCTCTTTCCAGATTCAATTTTCCAGAGCAGTTGTGAGGTTGTGTCAAAAGCAAGTTATGAAAAATTGAAGCAGGGTGTTGCTGTACGTTTCCATGGAGAGGAAGGGATGGTGAGCAATATTTTTCTGATAAGAATCTTAATTATTCAGAGACTAGCTACAATGCTATAAGACAATTTGCATAGAGTAATTTCAGTTATGATATTAAACCAGTAACTATTTTTAAATACATCAATGTGTTTATGATTTGAGAAGAACAAAAGCTAAGTTCTTGTAAAAATTGCTCTTTGAGCTCAAAGTCTAGGCTGACATGCAAGTACATTGCTGCGAGAGCATTGCATTGTCTAAGGTGGTACTCCTCAGACATTGAGATGTTAATGTTTGGTTCTGTCTGCAAGTATGGATAGACATTAAATGCCCCATGGCATGGCTCGAAAAGAGAAGGGAGTTTCTTCCAATTGCGTTCACTTCATGGCTGTCTGTGGAAGATTGCTGTGCATAAATTAGCTGCCTCCAAATACAATCACTGTACTTTACGATAAATTCTGTGAAGCGTTTTAAACATTTTAACAAGGTGATGAGATGTATATCAAATGCAAGGATTAATATCCAAAGGCTTTGCACATTTAAGCTATGCAGACAGTTTTTCATAGAATTAACTAATAAAAATCATAATAATAATATTTATATTTTATATAAATATTTTATGTAGCTCGAGAGTAACCTTACTCTGAAAGTAAGTAAATAAATGACTGGTGTTCTATTTATGCTATATCTTTCCTCCATTCAGGGTCAAGGTGTGGTACGTGAATGGTTTGACATCCTCTCCAATGAGATCATTAATCCAGACTATGCACTTTTCACACAGTCAGCCGATGGTAAGTGCCTCTAGTCGACAGTGATGGTTCAAATTGAAAGAAAGTTATCTCAGACTAGTTCAAATTTGAGTGTTTAAGAATGTTCAAGGGTTCAGTTGAAAACAGGTTAATAGTAAGAGCCTTTTGTTCTTCAATGCCCAAAGTCTGTGCATTAAAGGGCTATGGCTCAAATCTCTCCCAGTCCAGCACCACATCTGGCTGGATCACACCAAATTTCGCCGATGCACCATGGCGTTGGCCAAACCTTCCTTGTGGCTCAGAATCATCCTGGAGGGCAAAGGGCATCCTCTGCCCACTCTTGCATGCTCTCTCAATCCTTACCTTGAACACTAAGTGTAAGGAGTATTGAACTTCCTTTTACCCCAATCCTGCGACATCTATTCAGCTCCATCTACTTCCTCTACCATCCCCCACCCTTCATACCTTTGACGTCATCTTCCCTCCTCCTCCTCCATTGTTATCTCCTGCAAGAAATGCATCACCTGCTCCCTTGCCTCATTCCTGCCCAGCTCATTTCCACTAAGATGCTGCTTCTCTCCGCTCTGTTCACTGATGGAGTCAAACTTTGACATAGTACCCTTTCCGTTCCAACCTGCTGTCATTATCACTTACTGAAATGCCATACTGGATTTCCAGTCTCTCCAGTTATCATCCCATGTCTGACCTGTCCTTTCCCAATTAAATGCATTGTTGCGTCCCAGCTTTACTGCTATTTTTCCCATTGCTCACTGTGTGAGTCCCTAAAAGCTTTACCTCTTTAATCTCCCACGGTGGTCATTATTTCTAATGTATGTCTCATTTTTCCTGAAACTATGTAATTTTCTTGAAACTATTGATTGCCTTTGAACAGAAAGTTTTTTGTGTTTTTTTGAACAGGAACCACATTCCAGCCTAACAGTAATTCTTCAGTTAACCCTGACCACCTCAATTACTTCCGCTTTGCGGGGCAGATTCTAGGTTTAGCCCTTTATCACCGTCAGTTGGTTAACATTTATTTTACACGCTCATTCTACAAACACATCCTTGGTAAGTATGGTGTGATTTAAAATTCTAATTCAGATCTATTGCATGTTTGAACAACAGCAGAAAGTGATTTGGAGCCTGATTTGTCCTTTGAACTCTATCAGAACTATTTTTTGATGATAATCTCCCGCTACTTGATGTAGCACCTTATCATGTCGATGAGACATCCCAATGTACTTCACAGGATATACTGTAAGGTGCATTGATTGTGTATTTTGTGGGCGAAACACAGCAGCCAGTGGCGCACAACAATGTAATTTTTTTTAAAAAAATCCACAAAAATTAAGAATTTAGTTAAAGTTCTCGAAAAGACATACTTTGCTTCATAATTTTTCTTTCAGATGTTTGTCTTAAAGTTACAACATCCAGTAGTTATAAAGGTTTTTTGATGTGTATGTACATTTGCAGGTATTCCTGTAAACTACCAGGATGTAGCCTCTATTGACCCAGAATATGCTAAAAACCTCCAATGGATTCTGGACAATGATATCAGTGATTTAGGTCTCGAACTTATGTTTTCTGTGGAGACCGATGTGTTTGGTGCAATGGAAGAAGTGCCTTTAAAACCAGGAGGGACAAGTATACTTGTTTCACAGGAAAATAAGGTAAATTAATGCAATTTTGTATAGAACCATTAGGCTTTCTTTGTACACATCTTTAATAAAAACAAAAGTCATGGGAACACTCAGCACAGATCTGTCGAAAGGTCATTGACCTGAAATGTTAACTCACTTTTCTCTCCATAGATGCTGCCTAACCTGCTGAGTGTTCCCAGCGACTTCTGTTTTTATTTCAGATTTCTAGCACCTGCAGTGTTTTGCCTTTTATTACCTTTTTATGTATTGTAGTTTAAGCTCGAATAAGGGTATTAATGTGCAGCTTTTTAACACTACAAAATGCTGGGTTATTTTAGCAAGGTTCACTTTGATAATTTGGCAGGGCTGATCAGTTTCTTAAAGTGCAGGGGAACCCTGTTATAATGTGCTTTGTTGTCATGCAGTTTGCTTATAATACAGTTCTTGAGTGGCTCTTGACATTTACTTAACAAAAAATCCAAATGCATGCAGGAAGCCAGCAGGCTTGCTTCGTAATGCTAGCTGGTTTCTCAGACACTAATAAAATAACATGTTTTATGTCATTGGTCACTACTGATGTCACTTCCTACGTGTTGGTTGATGTGCAGGTAGCTGACCATTTTTTGGGCACACGTGATGTGAATGTGTAAGTGCTGACCTGTGATCGTGCGCCCAATATAATTTTGGTTGATATTCCACAGACCCCAACTATTAAATGTAAATTTCAGCGCTCTGAGAAGCTATCCCATGTGAAGGCCGTTATATAATTGCAAGTTGTTGTTGGGCTGTTTAAATGATCCTCAGCTATAATTCTCTCTTTGATGTATAGATTTTTAGTGAAAAATGTATAACTGCGGGAATGCATAAATTGAACATTTTGGGAGCCATCCAAGGGGGGTATTCATTTATCTTAAATCTACTGACAGCCTACGTTAAAAAAAATCATTATTTTGTGTGCAATATTATGCAAAATACCACCCCTTTTATTGGATCAACATCAAGCTAGAACTCTGCTCAATAGTTTTTGTATAATTTTCTATTTAATTTTGGATCATTAATTTCTAACTGAGCAATACTAGAGACATTATAAACAGATTTCTCCTTTAATGTTGAACATAATTTGAATAAATTTTCATCGGTCCTGTTGTGTTTATTTGTGTTTAGAAAGTCAGAACAGAGCTCATTTGTTCTCTCTCTCTCTGTTACTGACTCATTGGTGGCATATGAGAGGAGTGACTTCTCCACTAATAGATTTCTTCCCTTCTATCATGGGGAGATGCCTGGTTTTAATCTTTGCCCTCAAAGTTGGAAAACGGTTTATATTCTATTAAAACCGTTCTATTTTGGAGCCTATTTGGTTGTACCATCCATTGTACAGCACATACTTTCTGCACTTGAGATGCAGTACAGTGCAGTATTGTATATAAAAGTAATAGGTTAGCATAGCTTTAATATGCACGAGTTAAACATGGTACAGAAACCCTGCCTTAATATCACCAACCAGTTCAGTACTTGCATTTGTTATGTGTTAGTCATATAAAATCCGACTTATACAAATGTATTGTTGTTGTGCATAACTTTATATTAGTCATATATGATATGACTTGTGCAAGTTTCACAAAACACATACTTTGCAAAAGTCATATTAAATATATGGCCCCAACTAATATAACTTGTGTGACGTTTACTGTATTGCCTTTTCAAACGATTTATTTTAAAGACATCCGGATATATTTTTTTATATGTATATATAATATAAAAACTCAGCTGCCTTTTTATTAGAAGATGCAAGGGGTTAATATCAATCACACTCAAAGGACAATTCCAAATTTCTGCATGTAGTGATTTATTCATTTAATGGTTTGATTAAATGTCTGTTTTATGAAGTTTAAGTCACTGCTATTTTTCTTTTGTAGGCTGAATATGTGCAGCTTGTTACTGAATTACGGATGACTCGAGCTATTCAGCCTCAGATAAATGCTTTCCTGCAAGGTTTTCATCTATTCATTCCTCCCTCTCTAATTCAGCTTTTTGATGAGTATGAACTGGTAAGAATGCTAGTACTAAACATACCTCTGAAACATGTTTGCTGGCCCCTAGTTCTTTGAAATTATTTTTAAGGTATAACCTATTGATTTGGAACACTCCACACGACTGATAATAATCCCTTAAGAAAGAAAAATATTAAATTGGTCACTTCAATCCACGACTGTTCGTGGGACACTGCTGTGCTTAATTGGCTGCTACATTTCGCCCACAAATATACAGTCAATTCACTTTGCAGTATATTCTGTGAAGCACTTAGAGACGTCTAGAAGACATGAAAAGCGCGATATCAAATGCAAGGATTATTATTTTTTTATAATATTCTGATAAAGTATCACTTGACAAACTATGGTTCTTCAGCCTTACAAAGAGATATCTTGGAAGGGATTATTATAGACGCAAATATGTGAGATGGGATTGAGAGATTAGCCCCCCCAAATCTTTCAAATATTCTAAGGCAGGTGGACAGGGGTTCATGTTTCAAGAGGCCACTCACCAAAAAATATTTATTTTTATTGAGTGTAATTGGCAGCTGGAATAGGGACTAGGAAGGGTTGTAAAGGGTAGGATTCTGGACTCTTAAGAAAGTTTTATATTGTAATGGGAGGAAGGTAAAGGAAAGGCTGAGAAAGATGTAGAAAGATGAGATGAAATAACAAATTGTAATTTGTCATTTGTAACTCACTTATAAAAAAAGTTTGGAAATTGACATCATTTATTCTCTTTGTCGGCAGGAGTTGTTGCTTTCTGGAATGCCAGAGATTGATGTAGCTGACTGGAAGAGGAATACAGAATATACCAGTGGCTATGAAAGAGAGGACCCAGTTATACAGGTGCTACTGTCAGCTGGAAATGTGTAGTGATACTGATAGTTTACCACTTGTTTTTTTTAAATGCTTTTCAGGTTAAGGAATATAATATTTTTTCATGCTGCTTACCCATTTTAAATACTGATGGAATTTATAATGAGGCCAGATGTGAAGTTAAACTTCACCCACTTAATCCATATCCTTTTCAACATTAATCCCATATCAGCTTCTCCGCTCGGTGGTCACCGGCATGCTTCAGGTCCCCCGCACTTTCCACCCAACCATTGGTGGTTGAGCATTTCAGCATCCCTGCCTCCATGCTCTGGAACTCTATCCCACAATCTCTCCGCCTCACCCCCTCTGTCGCCTCCTTCAAGTCCCGTCTAAAGAGCTTCCTTTTCTACCGTGCCTTCGGCCACCCTACCACCCTCCGCCCTCCACCCCTCTTGATCCCAACTCCCAGCTCGAGTCCAAAACCGCTGATCTTCCAGAGCACTGGGACATCTTTCTGACGTGAAGGGCGCTGTACAAGCATAAATTGTTGTTGTTGTTGTAATCATACCTATATAATATTGTCTCTGCTTTAGTTGTGGATATAGGCCAAGTTCAATTGGAATTCCCTTTACAAAATATTGATGTGTGACTATGAATCACTTACAAAGTCTCTTTTTCCAGTGGTTTTGGGAGATTGTGGAGGCATTAACCCAAGAAGAATGTGTTTTACTACTGCAGTTTGTTACTGGCAGGTGAGAAACTTTGACGTAAATGTACCTCTGCTTCTATCCCTCCACCTTCTATCCCAGTGCTGGGGTGACAGTCTTCCCAGTATTATGGGTTCCAAGACCCAACGTGGGACAACTTTCTAACTCAGGTGACAACTGAGCCAGACTGACACAGAGCCCAGTGGAAAAATGTTCTGGGAGCCATGGCAGAGGTCTGTTTTAACCCTGACTGCTAAGATGGTCCTGGTTGACAAAAGTGAAAACTCTTGCCTCTTTGTTAAAAAAATAATTAAAAACACGATTTTATAAGGAAGTTAATTTCTTGTGTAGAAAGAAGGTATTTTTGGTCAATTGGGCACAAACAAATATCATTGTTGATTAAATATAATTGCGAACTAATCCAGGATAACATCATTCGCCAAATTACTAATTAAAATTTGGTGGAGAGAAGAATGGTGTATTTGGCTGTGATTACTCCCAGCAGCTAAATATCCTACCAGCATTCACTTTTAAGGTTGCAACATGAATAATGGCCTCATGGATGATGTACTGCAGGCAATTGAAGCCCAGTAGAACAAAAAAGTAACGTGAAGAGCGATTAGAAAAAAACTGACAGAGTGAGGAAGTAGTTTTTTAAAAAAATTATTAATGCAAGAGTGTTTTAGTTTTAAAGTAAATCTTCACACTTAATGATTTTGCTGATTAAAATAGTTCCATGTTTATTTTGATGCTTTATTGTGTGTCTCAATTATTAACTCATGTGTATGTTTTCTAGTTCTAGGGTTCCTCATGGGGGGTTTGCTTATCTCATGGGTGGCAGTGGCTTACAGAAGTTTACGATAGCTGCTGTACCATACACTTCAAATCTGTTGCCAACATCCAGTACTTGGTATGTACAGTTAGTATCCAGAATGTTGTAGATACAATACATGTCAATTGTATAATTTATAATGATTGGAAACCTATTGCCTTCTGAATTTCATTGCCAGTTTATCAGTTGTAGAAATGTCTTATTTGCATTACACATAGTTTCATAAAGTATCTGCATTTAATTAGATTTCAAGCAGCAAATGCCATGAAAGGATGAGAAATGCTGCTGGCAGAATGTTTTTATTTGTGGCAGATCAGTATCATAGAAAGTAATGAGACACAGTATTAGCAGTGTTCTAAAACAAAAGCCCAAATGCCTGTGAAATTTTGCCATTCCAAAGTTTGACACTCCAATAAAATTCTCTTGACAAAGCATCCAAATTTAGAAAATCAGGTATTTTAGGGCCTGTACTTACCTCTACCTTTCATTCTTGGCAGTTGTTTCATGATTGCAGGATGCTGCTCAAATCATTTAATAGCATGAGTGTTTGTTTAATTTGATTTTGGGATGCCTTCTGAGCTAGATGCTAAAAATAAATGTGTAATGATTACTTTGAGGCAATTGTATATTAATTGAGTATTGACAAGATAAAATAATAAGCAATGCATTTTATAAGTATTCTTTTGAATGTTATAGTTGATTTACTTTGGAAGTTGAAGGTGCAGTATTGTAGAATGCATCTTACACTTGTATTCTGTCTTCATCAGTAGATTAATTGAAAGCACAAACATAACCTTTTACGCTGTTTAACCCTTCAGCTTGTAAAAACTTCCATCTTAGACTTAATTGTTCTGTACATTTTAAACATGCATTTTTGGACAAAGCAAGGGTATTACAGTAAAATCATAGAATGGTAAAATCTGTCGTCTGATCTATCAAGTCACATAGTGACTTATCATATTGTCATGTGTTTTTATCCACTTGAGCCAATCTAATTCCATTTTCTAGCTTGCTCCCTATACTTTTCAATATTCCTGCTCTGCAAATATTTTTGGAACAGTGCCTGCAATAGTTGTCAGTGTCTGCAATGATTCAGTCAATGTCTGCAATAATGTTGTGTCAAACAAGTTATTTTTGGTAATCAATCACACAACAATTCATTATCTTCTATATATTTTAGTAAATTCACAAGATAAATTTATGTAAAGATATTTTCGATTGTCTTACGGTTGTGACTTATGGATTGTATCTTTCTTGCTTTGAAGTCTGGTATCGGTATTGGTTTAGGCACAAGTTTGAAGTTTGACCTGTAAAAATATTTATTTCACTTTATAAACTGTTTTTCCTTTTTCCAGCATCAACATGCTAAAATTGCCAGAATATCCAAGCAAAGAAAATCTTAAAGACCGAATTCTCGTGGCTTTGCACTGTGGCAGCTACGGCTACACAATGGCATGAAAAGAGCTGAATGTTTGAAGCATACACTCCCAAACAGAGTTTATTATTGCAACCAATTTGGGTGATAGGTGGGGGTGGAAGTGTTTGATCAGTCTAAAATTCATATGTGTCATAGCTGCATGGCACTACACTCATTATTTTTGTCAAGCACTATGCTTGTGTGTTTACATAACATTTACATAGTTTACATAGTTTTAAAAAATATATAGGTCCCTGATTTGTAATTCCGTGCTTTTGGTGACAGATGTTAGAAACTTATTAAACACAGCTGGGTGTGGTCAAAATCTATTCTGTACTCAGAAGCCTGAAATCCATGCACACAACTGTACTTCTAAATATGCTTGTATTTTGGTGATGTTGCCAAGAGTTCTATATTTACAAAGAATAAGCCCTGCTGGGGTTCCAAATCCAAACTTTAATTTTATTTTTCCTTTACATTGATTTATTTTTTGTAAAGTAAGAAAACCAAATTTTTGTTTAATATTTTATTTTTCTGAAGGTGTAAATGTTAAATATAGACTTCATAATTTAAATTGCCATACTAAAATGGAGGTCAGTAGAAATGCCAAACTATATTTGATAGATGATACTGACATTGAAATAATTAACAAAATTACTGCACTGTAATAAGTCCCAATAACCAGTTTAATAGATAAAAATGTCTTACAACTGACAGTTCTTGTACATTGTGAAAATTCTGTGCTGTATATATTGTTGGTTCAAGTCTTGTATATTTGTGTTTGTAGAATATAATGCAATTGCTATTTATCTCTTCCTAATATGCATGTCTCTTTTTTAAAAAAAAAGCCATTAAATTTCTTATTGAAAATTTTACTTTCACATGGACTCAATTTTTTAAAATTGCAGTGCAATAGATTTACCATGTTGCAATGAGTTTTTGGCTGAACCAGTTACTTGGCTGAGTTGTTTGTGGAAGATTGTGGTGTTATTTATTCAGCCATTGAGCTGGAACAAAGATGGTGGAAGAGGAAGCAGGAGGAGAAGGGGGAGATGGAGGAGCGGACTGGACCCAAGTTCTTGCCCTTGATATAGCGCCTTATCATGTCTTTGAGACATCTCAAAGCTCTTCCAGAATATATTGTAAAGTGAACTGACTATATTTTGTGGACAAAATGTGGCAGCCAATTTTCTGCAAATACAGACCATTTGGCTTTTCAAGTCTGCTCTCCCATTGATGCTGAGAATAATTCTGAAATCCAGTTACTACACTTTGCAGAAAAATAGCCCATGAAGATTTGAGACATTTTATCAGTGAAGCACTCTGTTTAATGTAAGGATTATTATATTAAAAGCAATAGTTCAGAACTTATTCACAGGACTTTTAATCACGTAACTAAGTAATCTGGAACAAATAGATGTGGATAGAAGACAAAAGATAAGAAACTGAAGAATTAGATACAAGAGCAGAAAATGTAATAAAATTAAAAAGTCAGGGAAGAATAAAATGAATGGTTTAATTAATAACAAAGCAAAGGTTTTTTATTTGGAAAAAAAACATTAGGTAGGTTGTGTATATACATATGAACAAGACCTGAAGAAAATCTGCATGGTAAGTGAGTTGGAAAGAGTTTTAGATTGCTATATGAAAGGTGAGCATGTTATAACCAGTTCATGAAGAAGGGAAAAGACTTGAAAAAGATGATGGTAATCATTTGTTAATGGAGCCTTTCAAGTCATCATGTTGTCTAAAAGTGTACCATAGGATATTCTGTATATTGACTATTTTGTGGACGAATGTAGTGGCCTAATAGAGATATTTCGCAGGATCTGGGAATGCTTGATGTACAGAAAATGGTCCAGCTCTGAAGCATCATGTAATGTTCATGAACCCCACTGGTAGACTGTCTCAACAACTTGCATTTATATAGTGCCCGTCACGATGGTAGCGTCCTGGAATGTTTCTCGAAGTATATAATCACAACATCTTTGACAAGCTTAAATACTAGAATTTGGAGAACTTCAAAGCATCAGTAATATGAGCCATACTGTGAAAATGCTGCTAAAATCAGGCTGATAGAAAGCTGGTTTGGGAATTCAGTCAGGATCTGATTGGTTTTGAAGCAGGAAAGGGACATGCAAAGGGATATTTGCTTTAAGAATGATTTGTGAGTAGGCAATAGAAATGGAGAGAAGTGTATGATTATGAGAAAGTGACAGAATGAAGCATAACAGATTAATGGATATTCTGTAAAAGGTAAGAATTCATGGAATTAGTAACCTAATGGGGAGCAAGCAGCAGTTAAAGCTGATGAGGATAAATTGGACAAACGATCCAAAGAGGAGTGGTAAAAGCTTGTGTTGTCACCGACCTTTTCAATATATACTTTGAATTTATTATGAAAGAGTCTGGGTGAATTAGATGTTGAATATAAAATCAATGCAAAATTGATAATCTAACCTAATGCTACAGGGCTGATTTTTAATAAACTAGAGAAAGTAACCCAGACAAGTTTGGGATAGGATTATAAATATTTATGACAAAAGTCAATCACAAAGAAAGTACATCATCCAAAAAAATGCCGATAGAGGGAGTAATATCTTCGACACTGTCAACCATTCCATCCTCATACACCGCCTCTCCGCTTTACTTAATCTTCGCGGACCTGCCCTTGCCTGGTTCGATTCCTATCTCTCACTGTCTCTTTGTTGCCTCTAACAGTTTCTCCTCCAGCCCCCGCACTGTCATGTCTGGTGTCCCCCAGGGTTCTGTCCTTGGCCCTCTCCTCTTTAATATCTACATGCTCCTCCTTGGTGACATCATCTGCAGACATGGGGTCAACTTCCACATGTATGCGGATGACACCCAATTCTATTTCTGTCTCCACCCTCAACTCCAGGACCACTGCTGTCCTGACAGACTGCCTGTCGGACATCAAGTCCTGGATGAGGGCAAATTTCCTACAGTTGAATGCGAACAAGACTGAAGCCCTCCAGATTGTCTCGCGCCAGCGCCTCAGCACCTCAGGCTCTGGCAGCAACAACCTCCATGGTTGCACACTTCAACTCACCAGCCAGTCAGGAACCTCGATGTCTTGTTCGACCCTCAACTGTCTTTTCTCCCCCACATCCAATCCATGACCCGCTCTGCCTTCACATCCGTAAACATCGCCCGACTTCACCACTACCTCACCCCTCAGGCCGCTGAAACTCTTGTTCATGCCTTCATCACCTCCAGGCTCGACTGTGCAAACACCCTGCTTGTCAGCCTTCCCAACTCCCCTCCACAGGCTGCAGATAATCCAGAACTTTGCAGCCGGTGTCCTCTCCTGTACCAAACTCTGTGACCCCATCTCCACCACTCTCGCCCGACTCCACTGGCTCTCTATCCTTCAGAGGATCCAGTTCAAGATCCTGGTCCTCACCCACAAAGGCCTCCATGACCTCGCCCCATCCTATATCTGTGATCTCCTAATCCCCTACCAACCCGCCTGTTCCCTCTGCTCTCCTGTCCCCTGACCACCTGCCCCACCATTAGCAGGAGAGCCTTCAGCCACTCTGCCCCCAACCTCTGGAATTCCATCCCCCAATCACTCCACCTCACCTCCTCCTTAGCCTCCTTCAAGTCCCACCTCAAAACCCCTCTCTTCGACCATGCCATCGGCCACCCCCTTCCCTTCCCCTCCTTTCTCCCTCCCTGACCCCAGCTTGGGTCTAAAATGCTGTACACTGTCCAGCACCTTGGGAAGTTCTCCTGACGTGAAAGGCGCTATATAAATGTAATCTTGTTGTTGTAATGTAGAAATAAAGTGCAATAGCAGAAGACATTATTGACTTGGTTAGGGTAACCTCAGTAGCCAAAGCATTAAAGGTTGCAAAGAATTAACCAAAAGCTTTCAACAACTTGGAGGAGTCCTCCATTGACTGAATAGTGTTGTTCAGATGGTAGAATTACATAAAATGATAAAACATGGAAACAGGCCATTGCGCTCAACTGTTCCGTGCTAGTGTTATACTCCACACAAGCTGCTACCTCTTCTATTGCCCTTTTCTAAATCTCTTTACAGTATTTCCTTCTTCCCCAGTTATGCATTTTCTTTTTTTAGTTTTTTGGCTTCAAGCACAATTTCTGGCAGTGACTCCCCCATTCTCACCAATTCTATTGCTCACAATAGTGCATCTGCAAAAAGTCTTAAGGGCTCATTTCTTTTGTCAGTGATGTATTTTCCTAAACAGTTTGGTGGCTTGCTGTTTAAACACTGTTTGGCAAGCACTGCTAACAGTGATATTGCAGTCATTATTTTTCATCAAAACAATTGCAGTTCACAGAGAATGTGACTAAGTTTTCAAATGGGTATCATGCCAGGCAAAGTGCCTTTTGAAGTATTCTTTGATTTTTAGCAGACCTATATCCTTTATAGTCTAATCAATCGAGATAGTATTCTATTGCATAACCTTCATATATGAAAAAGTAAGAACCCTGTGTTTCTATCATGCTGTAAAGGAGTTGTGACATTCCAGCTGGTCATACATTTCAATGAACACATCTATCAGCTTTGATTTACTCATAAGGTCTCTCTAAATGTAGTAAATTACAATGGTGCCTAGAAGGTCTGACACATTTCCACTGCCACAAGACTGAGATCTGTAGCATTTACTCTGCTGTAGATCTCCAATTTAATTTGCTAGTGAAGAGAAAGGACCCCAACAAGGATTTTAGGCCAATCCAGAGGTGTCCTTTGCTGCCTAGAGACACAGTAGGTTGAAGGCTCACTCTAATGTTTGTCTATTAGTATCAGATCAGTATTAAACTCATCACTGTAAAACTTAGTTAAAGCTGGACCTGTTGGGGATACAATGCAACAAATAACTATGAACTTGTGATTATGGCTTTCCTCTTTGGAAACTGCTGGTTCTATAGATGCCACCATCAGATAGTTCAGCACAGACTGAGGATCAATACAGGGATCTTCCACTCCACAATGGGCAAGGATGTCTATAGCTGATTTAGAAGAGCAGAAGCTGGGATATTGAAGGGAAGTTTTTATAGTGCCTTATCACTTTGCAACATGCCAAAGAAAGTCACTGTGACATTTAGTGACAACCTTTTTGTGGCAACAAAGTCGTACAAATGGGCATAAGATGAATGACCAATTAATGTGTAGGAAATGCCTAAGTCACTTTTAATTCTTTACTACCATTACTAATCCTTGCATTTGATATAACCTTATCACATTTAATATAGCCTTATCACATTTAATATAGCCTTATGATATTTAATATAGCCTTATCACATTTCATATAGCCTTATCACATTGATATCTCAATTGCTTCAAAGCATTTGCTTCAAAGGGTAGTGACTGTATTTTGTTGGTGGACACAAAGCGCTTCCCAACAATTACTGTAAAGTAATTTACTAAATTACTGTAAAGTAATTCTTAGGGAGGACAAGTTTGCAGGGCTATGGGGAGAGAGTGGGGGAATGGGATTGATTTGGGGAACTCTTTTCAAAGAGCCGGCACAGACACGATGGGCCGAACGGCCTCCTTCTGTGCTGTATAATTCTATAATTCTATGATAAGTGGCGTGGAGGTGAACTTTAATAATAATAATAAGCCTTGCATTTGATATATGGCTTTTCACGTCTTCTAGATGTCTCAAAGGGCTTCACAGAATATGCTCTAAAGTGAATTGACTGTATATTTATGGGAGAAACGCGGCAGCCAATTGCGCACAGCAGTCGTGGATTGAAGTGACCAAATTATTATATTCTTTTTACTTGAGTTATTATTATCAGGCGTGTGGAGTAAGGAAACTTGCCCAACGTTTCGCTCTGCCGGGAATCGAACCCAGGTCTCTCACTTGCTA